ATAAATTTTTATTTGTTAATATTTATTTATTTCTATCACTTAATGTCGTTTAGATTTCTTAGATTGCTTTAGATTTCTTAGAATACTTTAATGTAAATTTGACAGTTAATTTCAAATAAACGTCACCGTTTACGATTCAAAACATAAAATCATACGAAAGTAACCAGGATTTCATATGGTTTCATAACTGACTGTTCAATCAAACACCTCTTTAGGTGCCAACTTATCTCGCGCGATCCAGCTTTTCCTCGACGTGAATGGTAATGCACGCATTAACTGTGTTATGTTATCTCATCAGATTTTATTCATACAAGCTTTCATTATCTAATCAAATATACGTATCGTGCAATTAAGTAGAAAAGGGCAGTTGTGCTATCACCATTTTTCATCGATGAGAAAATGTTGATAAGATCAGACTCAGCAAATTTAATTAAAAGTTTAATTAAGAAAAAATGTAGAAAAAAGCAAGGTTCTTTATTATGCCATTTGTGTAATGTAAGTAAGAGGGCGCAAATTTATACTCATGATAGACAGCTGAATGAATCTATAAATAAATTCAATTTATCCTCGGAAGAAAATTCTGAATCATCCGTAGAGACAATAATTTACTATCGTAATATTTTAATAAAAATAAAAGCATATTCTTTAAAATTTTAATTAGAATCTCGATTAAAAGCATTGCAATTTATATAATCTCAATGAGTTTCAATCAGTTATCATATTTGTTTGTGTAACAAAAATAAATCTAGTTTCACAGTTATATTATAATTTCTGATTAAAAAAATTCATTTTTAAGTACGGTTTCTTTAACAATTCTCGACTCACCTGCTTGACATAGCAAAGCTCCCCTCCAACCAAAAGTTTTCACAAGTATATTCGAAACCGGTGCGAGTAAAAATGCACCAATACCGGAGCCACATACTGCGATACCTGTAGCTAAGGCTCGCCATCTTTCGAAATAAAAACCAGTAGTTATCACAGCTGGCACATATATTAAACCTGCCCCAATGCCACCTGAGTTTTTGAGAAAAGTCTTATTTTGAAAAAGAATTTCAATGTAAGAGAATTTGTTAGAATTTGTTAGAATCATGAATCGTTCTTCAGGAGAAATTTAGATGTTTAATTTCTTCAACAATACATCATACATTTTCTAATTAACACAAGCACATTATTGCGATTAATTTTTATTAATAATTATTTTAAAATATATTTAATTTCATAATTATTCTCATAAATATTGAAATATATTTATGAGAATAATTATGAAGTAGAAATTAAACACATTTTAATTAATTAAAAAATTAGCATATTAATAACAATTATTATCTCAAGTCAGAGTCAATATTTAAATATTGATGTGAGATCCGAATTCTTGACAAATTCTTGAGTGAAATTGGAAACGTTGTATATGTCTAAGAATTTAGCCAAGAGATTCTCGGCGACGTCAGTTAGAAATATTTAAGACAGAAATAGCCTTACCTATGGCGCCATAAGAAATGTAAAGAAACTCGATGGAAGTACTGAAGTACGCGAGGACGAAGGCGATGCAGCTAATCACGCTTCCTAATATCGCCACCAGCCTGAAGCCGTATCGATTAGCGAGGGCGGATACAAAAGGACCTGAGAAAAACAATCATTTAATTTACAATTACAATTTTCGTCGTTCCAACGGACGATTACGAACGGTTTGATCTACAGATATGCAGTCGAATGGAAACACGCGAACCATTCGTTACACGCTGATTATCAATACAATTCTAATCACCTTTTTTTCTTCAGAATATGTTAACTGTTATGTAATATTGACTGTACGCAACTTAGCGCGAATGTCGTCATTATAAAAGCAAGCGACTTGTAAGTATACAATATACATACCGTATGCTTGTACAAATGATTCTATTAATATAATACCGCTGATATGGTAACTTACTTAAGTATAAAATGACAATGTATCGGGATTTATAGGTTGATAAAAAAGAAAAATATCTCGCATATTTTTGTTCAATATGAATGAATATGTAAAGTTTTATTTATAAAGTATCCGTGCATGCATAATAGAAAGATACGATATAAAAAAATGTGAGATACAAATTAAAAATGTATAACATATCTATATATATATTCTTTCTGCTTTGAAATTGACATGTTAGTTGAGATCTATCTAAATAAAGCTCAATTACGTATTTATTTACGTATTTATTACGTTAATTGATAAACTAACAACTTTATCAATTAATAAAAAGTATTATGTGTATGAAATATAAACAGGTACTCTGCATAATTTTCAATTTCTTCGGAACGGAATATGCAGTTTACGCAACATTAAGGATAAATTGCGGAAAGTAACTTACATCGCTCTTTATCATCACGAGTAGTTAGCCACAATTTTGCCGCGCGTTGCATTGCTAAACTGATTATAAATGTACACGAAAGACTCATGATATATAATTTTCTCATAACGAGTTATAAACTATCACATACATTCCAGATATTTTATTTTTGATTTCGCATTACGATATAATTAGCACGGTTAAACGGTTACGAAACGTGCTAATTATTAATTATTAATTATCAATGTCATCGACATTGGTTACGAGATCATGGCAATTTAAAAGCGTTAAACGCTGTCGAACGAGCTCGATGCTAAATCGAACATCGAGTGGAAATATTATTCGTGCATATTTATTTTTTTGGATTGCACCGCGAATTGATCCTTGAGACTGGTCATACAAGCGATTATTTATTGCAATAACCGCTAACTCGGCTGCGAATACAAGCGTTATGTGCGACTTTATCGACTCGATATGTATCAGGAAGATTCCACATGTGAGTATATTAACACCGCTGTATTTCTACAAACAGACTTATCAGTTGCGTACATTCGACAGAAACACGACAGGCTATCCTTATCGTATTTTTGATGTCTTCCACAAAACGTATTGCGTCAATATTGTGGCTCGATATGTCAAAAAGAAAGTAAATTCTAAAGAATTGCAAAATATTCCAGCTTTAAAGTGGAAAGTTTGCGTGAATTCATTGATCAAACGATCATACGGCATTTCGCGTTTATTTATTTCTTTATTTTTCTTTTTTTACAAATATAACGAACAAGATATAACTTGCTTTTTTAATATTATTTATTAATTGCAACATGCGTTTTGTTACATAATAAATGTAATCGAACGCAAATCTCTTTGAGACATATCGTACCGTTATGTAAATTCGATAGACTTAATTATTGCTTCTGGAATGGAAATGCAAATTTGAAATCTTGTATGTCATTATAAAACGGAATTCTTTAATCATTTTTTTTTTATTTTATATTTGATGCTCGTAAATTAACTTATGACTAATTTTATATGCTAAAAAGTACGATATTTTTGTAAAGTTATTCTATTTTTATTTGCGTAATTCTAAAATATTTTTTTCTTATTCTTTTATTTTGAATTTATCGAAAGTTTCAAA